CTAGTTTGTGGAGGGGGCTTTGAGAATTACCAGGATAGCAACCTTGAACCTCACACGGTCTCTGGTGGTGCAGGCTTTTGGGAACTGCTAAGAGGGGCAGAAAAGATGAGCAACAAACACTTTCTTGTGTGCGATTTCTGGTCTACCTTGTGGAACACACTCTTCCCTTTCATCCTGAGCCCCTGACTGATTTCTCTCTTAAAGAAATAAAGAAGCCTTGATTGCCACTGGGAATCCCAACTGTAGAAGGGCAGGAGTTGAAAAGGGTGCCCAGACTTCAGAACACTCTAACACAAAGATGTATTCTCACCTGGCTGTGGCTAGGACTACTCTCAAGTTAACTGAGGCTCCTGTCATTTCAGGGAATATCTGCATCCTTGGAGCACAGAAACACATTAGCATTTGATTTCAGCCCATCTTTCCCTGCTGCAAAGACTCATGTCAGTAAATCGCAGGTTCCCACCAGCTGCCTCACCTGGCTCTACATGGCTGCGACACCAGACACACAGCACATTGCTTCTGTGAAGCCCGTTTTTGTTTTTACACTGAAATCTAACACTTGTTATGAGTTGCATGCTGTATTTCTTCGGGAGCACCCCATTGCAGTGACTCTGAACTAGAGAGCAGATCACGGCCTCTCCCTGGAGGCTACTGGGTCATATTGATCTTGAACTGCATCTTTTAGCATATCTCAGAGCAGGTGAACACCATATTCCATCCAGCCTGGGAACAAGCAGAACCCAGCCACATGGTCATTTGCTTCATTGGGTGAACACATTTATTGGCCTTCTGTGTTGCTACAACAAAAGTGGAAAATGTAATGTGCTGTATAAGGTTTATTGATCTTCCTTGAGCTAAAAGCAAAGTTTCAGATGTCGCCTTGGAAACAGCTATGACTTTGGCATACAGGGGTCCATACAGCTTCCTGAATTTGTTACCTAAACTTGGGTCTCCCTGGGACAGCTGCCACAATGTCAGTTTGGGCTTCTAAAGGCCTGCGGATATTTTGAGGGGCAGAGGCTGAGTGTTTGTGTACACATCTACCTGAAAGCATAGCCCTTGCAGAACTTTATAGATGATACAGCAGGCTGCCTGGAGGTAATGTCAACACACAGAATCATGAATATTTTCCCACAATGCTTTGCTCTTCAAGGCCAGATTATGGCATGAAGTACCACCTTTGCTTCTGCCCTCTAGGCCCATCTTCAAAGTTTCCTTAGCTTTCCCATCTTCATTGTGAGTGACTCACCAGGGTATTCCTCTAACACAGCTTCTGATTTAGTGGGTTAGGGTGTGGCTGGAGCCTGCATTTCTAATGTGCTTCTGGCTCATCCAATGATGGTGGGCCAGTTTCAACAGTAAGAGTTTAATAAAAGATGATCAGACAAGATACCATGGCAGTGTAGTTCACACCAGCTTTAGAGCATGAGTGTACCGAGCTTGCATTCAGCTGTTGGTGAGTAAAAGAAGTTGGTTTTCCTTAGCTGTCTATCACAACTGCACAGAGCAGAGCATCTTAACTTGGATTGCCCATTAGAATTACCAGATGGGCTCTTAAGAGCTAGCCAAGACCAGCTCTGACCAATTAGGCAGAGTTCCTCTGAGGGGCTGAGGAGCCACTGGCTTAAAGCATTAAGATACTGTTCAAGGGGCTGGAGAGATAGTTCAGCTGTCAGGAACATTGACTCCTCTTCCAGAGGACCCTGGTTCAATCCCAGAACCCATATATGGCAGCTCACAACTGTCTGTAACTCTAGTTGCAGAGAATTAGTCACCATCACACAGACACTAGCAGACAAATGCTAGTGTCCATAAAATAAAAATAAGTCTTGTTTTAAAAGACACTGTTCAGATGCAGTGTTGCTATGACAGCGAGGGTGAATGCCAGCTGTGGTCACCGCATTGAACACATCAGAGTGCCCATTGTTTTGATTCACTAAGCAGTCTGGTCCCTGTTCATTACTCCTTATGCCAGGTGTAAGGTAAACTGGGACTGTGTGAAAGTTCGCAAGGGACAGTCTGTGGTGCAAACAAAACAAAATCTGTGTTCATGATGCCATGTGGTGCAAGTGTTGGTCAGTTAGTACATCGTCTCCTCACAAGGTGTCCTGTTCTCTGCTGCCTTCAGATCGCGTTGGGAAATCATTTCCATTCTAGCTAATAGGGAAGACACTCATGGGTCTAGCCCGGCCTCATGGTATCAGTTGCTGTGTGTTAACATCTAGTCACAGTCCATTGACTAGAGCCTATACAGGTACAGGACCCTCAGCAATGCAGGCTAGAATAATACTCTAAAAGAGCATTGTGGCTCATGGTGAGCAGCAAGCAACCTCTGGCACTATCCACGTGGGGTAGAGGTGGATGCATAATCTCAGGGTCAGCCCTTTCCTACAAGGAAAACATCTGTGGACTGTGTGAGCCTACGGAAGACGTGAGAACGAAAGGATCAGTGAAAGGAATGGGGCTCATGACTTGGAAGAGTTTTAAAGCACTGGAGAACATAGGTTATACTGTTCCACACTGGGTGTGTGTGTGTGTGTGTGTGTGTGTGTGTGTGTGTGTGTGTATGTGTGTGTGTGTGTGATTATCTGCCTGTCTTTCTACTGCCTCGCCTGGCCTTGGAGCTACTCAGGCTTGTGCCCAGATCCAGCTCCTCCTCCAAAACCACCAACCCCTCTCATCTTCTTCATGGCTGCCCCCCTTCAGCCCCTCCACAGAGTTCACCTTTTAACATCTGAGTGACGTTCCATAGGAAATATCACATTTCCTTTATCTGTTCATCGGTTGGTAGACAGACACTTCATATACCTTTGCCCACAGGAACAGTCTCCACTCATGTACAGCACTCACAGCAGTGCAGGGGCCCTCAACAGACAATTGGTCCTGTCAGCCACGGGGACCACCCTTCCCCTCACCCTCCCAGGATCCAGTGGGGAGACGGTAACACAGAGGAGAACTAAGTGAGGAGGCTATACTATTGCATCTCTGTAGTCCTCAGAGGTGTGGACATTTTGGGTACCTTTTCTCTGTTCTTCCTGCTCACCAGCCATCCTTGCTGGCCGTCTTGCTTACCTTCTGAGCACCCTGTGGGTAGCCAGCCTGGACAGAGAGCCCTTTGGGGAAACAAAAACAGCAATACATGGATTATTGTGCCATGGTGTGGGCAGTACAGAGGAGGGCATGGTCCAGCCCAGGGGACACCCCAGACAACAGAAAGCTCAGTGTTAAGTCAAAACTCAAACTCCAGTTTTTCCTGTGCCTACCTGGAGGATCCTCTCATCAGACACCATCTAGCTGTGCACATCCCTAGCCTCAGCTCCATCCCTGGGTCCATGTTCCAGCTGGGCTGCCTGCTACAGACCTGACTTTTTAGACTTCCTGCTGAAAGCTGCTCCAGGTGCTCTCCACTCTCTCTGCCCTAGAGGCATTTCTTTTGGCTCCAGCTTTTCTCCAAGCTAGACCTCCACCATTCTGCTTTCTACTGGGGCCCTAGTAACCCCTTCTTCCAACCAGCTAGGAGCAGCAGCGGCCTGTTGCTGCTAATCTTGTAACTTCCCAGTTGCCTTTGCCATTTTTCTACCTCTTTATTGAGTTCCTCTAACACTCCGGTCCTAGCCAACCCCACAGATCCACTATTACAAGCTGGCTGTGAACTAAGGCCTCACAGCATTCCTAAGGACAGCTCTCAGACACCCCTGGCTTCATAAGGGCACTGAGATGAGAAGGGACTCGCTCAGGACCCTTGGCTGCTGAGTCATTCTGCCTGAGTTTAGTTCTGTGCCCGCCTCTAAAGCAAGCCTCACCACTTGCTGCTTCTCTTAGCTTATCTCTTCATCTTTGCTACATTGTAGCATGTGTGCAGGGTCAGAGATAAGTGCCTGACAGGGGCACACCTTGGGAATCCTCCACCCCCAGGGGCCCATCTTGTTATCCAGCTGGAGGAACACACACCATATGCTCTCTCTAAAAGCTTTGGCCAATTTGAGGTGTGGTGCGGGGTGTCAGGGTAGCCACAATACTTGGCTGTTCCTAGGAAGGGTCCCACAAGTTGACTCACTTTTGGGTTTATCTGTCCTGGTTTTCAACCTGTTTCTAGTAGTTTTCTGAGGTGTGATCAGAAAGCCAGGCAATGGTAGAATGTGGTCTGGTGATCTCCTGAGGAGTGTTTAAGTGGCATGCTATTTAGTTCTGTGTCCTTCTGCAGACAGAAGAGTACTTTGTGGCATTCGATGAATAAACAGCCAGCTCCTCTAAAACTATCTGTCCAGTGTCAGAAATGTAGTCCGGATGTGATTTCAAAGGTGGGAGATGGAAAACAACCTTCTTCCCCTAGCGTCATAAACATGGGTCAGAAAACCCTTAAACATCATCAAGAGCAGAACAGGCTTCCACTTGATGCACTTAATGGAGGAGACCAGGGCTGAGAGGGTGAAGGGACTCATCTAAGGCCGCATGCTGTGTTGACAGAAGAAAGCCTAGGACCCTGGTGGCACCTGTGTGGGAGGGGCCAAGGCTAACCCTGCAAGTAGAATAGGAGAGTCCCTTCATGCCTGTCATTGGCCAAACCCTGGCAGGACATGAGGGGGTGAGGTAGGGGCCACGGCTCCTCGATTTGAACAATTCCAGATGACTTCTTGGGTAACAGAAGCAGACTTAGCAGCACTGTGCCATTGGGTAAAGATTTTGCCCATAAATATCTTAATTTTATTTACTAGGTTGTCTGGCACATAATAGCATGCATTATTAATAGAGTAGCTTAATACTATCTGTTAAATAGGCACACTCTTCACATCGTACGACGTGCCTCTCTTTACGATGTGCTTTACAACACCACATGACAACATTCGTGCTCAGAATATCCTAGCAGGCTTCCACTGACCACCTGTGAAAGCATAGGCTGTGTCTGGCCCCAAACCTTAGTCTGTTGGCCATGCCGGTATTGTGTTTGAAGGGCCCCTCCCAGGAGCCCTTTGGTTCTCAAACTCTTATTTCCCCCAACTGCCCAAGTTTGTCCGCTACCTCCTATGGTGAGTCACGGAGATTTCATCTGCCACCCGAGGCCTTGTGAGCGCTACAACCACGGGACCGTGGTAGAGTTCTACTGTGACCCTGGCTACAGCCTCACCAGTGACTATAAGTACATCACCTGCCAGTATGGAGAGTGGTTCCCTTCCTACCAAGTCTACTGCATCAAATCAGGTGAGACTGGGGTCTACATCCTTGGGGGAGGCTGGTCCTCTTGAGGGCAGGCTTTAAGCTGTGGCCTGTGTTCTGAATGGCATCTTACCTTATCATGTGCCTCAGGTCCATGCTATAGAAATGAACCATTGTGGAGATGGGTGGCTGTGTTGGACTCTGCCAAGGATTTCTAGGTTTTTCCCAGAAGGTCAGGAATATTTAAGAACTGAATCAGAGCCCTGGCACCCAGGGAAGAATTCAACTTCCACAGTTTCTCACAGCCTTGGTATCACCCACTGGCAAGGATGCAGGCCCTTTGGTGTAATCAGAATTATGTGCATGGCTCAGGCATCTGAGAAGTGGATGACCCCACCCTTCTCTTCCATTGAGGGACACACATTCAAATATGAATGCTATTATTGTGGATAATAACTTACCTCACACAAGGGGAGACGTATCCAAGCTACACTGCCTCCTGGTAAATGATGTCTTCAACCCAGCAGGACCCATGCTAGAGACAGGTTTTAGTGTTGTGTGGGTCCTAACGTGATTTATATATGTACTAGATGATGGTATGTCTGTTGAGTTCCAGGAGGCATACCATGGATACCTCATGTACCAGATGACCACCCACCAAAGGAACGTGGTACCTCATGTCTTGCTTTGTTATCTCTCATGGCAGAGCAAACGTGGCCCAGCACCCACGAGACCCTCCTGACCACGTGGAAGATTGTGGCATTCACAGCCACCAGCGTGCTGTTGGTGTTATTACTCGTCATCCTGGCAAGAATGTTCCAAACCAAGTTCAAGGCTCACTTCCCCCCAAGGTCAGTGCAGCAGAGATTGCACAGATGAAGGCAAAACTTAAAGGTCTGCATGTCAGAGAGAGAGAGAGAGCACCATGATGGAGACAGGCCTCATCCCTGCCTCCCTGGGCAGACCATTCCAGAGCAGGTACCCTGGGAGAGGACCAGGCCAGCTGTGCATGCCCCATCAGGAGCAGCCTCCATCATGGTCCACCTGCTGTGGCCCTAGAAGATGACTGGCATATCTGGAAGAGGCATCAAGGTCAGGGATGTGACATGGCAGAGGTCAAAACAGGACAGGACGCTTCGGAAAAGAGAGAGCAGGCCCATGAATGGGAAACCGGAAAGGGCCTGGGATGGGACCTGGGGCTTCAGACAGGGATTTCCTATCTTCCTTGACTGCACCAGGGGGCTGAGCTTGGTGTCCTCACACCTGTGTCCTCCTCACTCTGCGACTGTCCTTACAGCTGAGCCTTGTCACCTCACAGCTTTCTTTACCTCCAAGCCAGTTATCCTCATCCCTAAGTTGCCCTCACAATGGTACCTAATTATCAGAACAAGAAATTTGAGGTTCTAGCCAGGTAGTGGTGGTGCATGCCTTTAATCCCAGTGCTCTGGAGGCAGAGGCAGGTGGATCTCTGTGAGTTCTGTGCCAGCCTGGTCTACAGAATGAGTCCCAGGACAGCCATGGCTACATGAGAAACCCTGTTTCAAAAAACAACATAAAAGGAAAGGAAGGCAGAGGGGGGGGGGGTTCTGGGAGAAAAAAAGACTATGGTTCAGGTAAGAAGGAGGCTCCTGGAATCCACTCCATTCCCTCCAGTACAACCCCATCTCTCTCTCCTCCCAGGAATGTGGAGAGGGAGAAGAGTGGCAGCCTCCCCAAACCTCACATACCCCCACAGATTTATCTCCCTCAGCAGTTCTCCTGAACCTGGCAGCAGAAACACCATAGGTCACACCCGGCAGGTGCCTCACTCTCTCCAGCTACGTGTCAGCTACGTGTCTGGGATGCCAGCGTCACTATGTCCTTTCCAGGCCCAGAGGTCTATCAGCACTTCTCCAGTGGCATCACCAAGCTTTTGGTGTGGTTCCAGAACCTTCCTTTCTTCTCCTCAAACCTTCCACCTGCTCTCTGTGTCTTCAGCATTATTTCTTATTAATCAAGGGACCAAGTTCTATCTCTAAGTAATTACAGTTTCTCAAGAAGGACAAAGGGGCACAAGAAAAAGCTAGACTACACCGCTGTGATTTATAATGTGTGAGTGGTCCTTCAGATGGCCCACAAAGCTATTTTTTAAATATATATGCTTGTAAAAGTTTTCTAATATATGTACTACCAAGATGTCTTTGAACTTCTCTCAAGACTCACTTGATGGTTTCCCTTTAGTTGTTTAGTTCCTTTAGTTGTTTAGGGCAAGTTGTGTCATCTGTCCAAATGGAGTATAGGGTACAGGTACACAAGGGCATGCCATCGACAGGTGACTGCTTTCTAGCTCCCATGTGTTTAATGTCAACATATATGAAAGTCACAGGGCATGGTTGGAGCTGTGCAGAGGGGACTGTAGCCCAAGCATGGGCTCTTAGGGTAAGAAATGACCACAGGTATCTGCCTGCTCGGGTCTGACACCAGGAAAGCAAGGAGCAAGGAGTCCTGCGTGAACCAAGAAGGCTAATGGAAGACCATGGAGGCCAGAGAGGAGGGAGCTCAGCTTGTTCTGGCCGGATGAGCAGCGCCAGGCTGGAAGCCTGCCTCCCTCCCTCCTTCCTTTCCCTTCCTTCCCTCCCTCCCTTCCCTTCCTCCCTCCTTCCTTCCTTCCTTCCTCCCTCCCTTCCTTCCTTTCTTCCTTCCTCTACCATCTAGGGAGTGCAGGCCTAGGTGTTCTCTTGGCTTCTCTGGGTAGCCTTTATGGACTGGAGCAAGAAGGCAACTGCCATAACTCTTGAGCTTTTGCAAGATGTTTCGAATAGCCATGGGCTTGAGGTTGTCCCTCTGGTGTTAATAAAGAGCACAGGCTGATGCTGCCCCTCCCCTACAAGTGCCATGTCCAGACATTCCATGTCCCCTCGCAGAAGCACTCAGGTTTTGGGTATCATCTCACCTAAACAGATCACGTCCACTTCCTGCTGTGTCATCCTCTGACCTCTTCTATCTTCAGTTCCCAGCAGAAGAAATAAGAAGTCAAGCTCTTGGCTACTTTACTTACTGTTCTGGGCTCTTCTGGAGCCAGGAGCAGAGCCTGGTGATCATATGGGTGCAGGTCCTGTGCCCCGGTGTGTTCATGTGATATCAGAAACAAAGGCCAGACCAGGAGTTGTGCATGTGCTCCACCAGAGAGGGAGCACCTGTGGGGATAGCAGGCTGTGCATGTGCTCCACCAGAGAGGGAGGACCTGTGGGGATAGCTTCTCTGCCACCTAAAACCCTCATAGCAACTGTATGGATGCTCTCCAGACCACAATGCAGCATTGGGTCTGAGGTGGCCAGGAAGCTGGGCAATTGGAATGACACAGTCAGATGGGTAACTAATAGCCTGCCTTTTTAGTTTTCTATTGTGTTTTGTCTGTCTCTCTAAAGTTGAGTGGTATGGTTTTGTTTGTTTCTTTTGTTCTGTTTTGTTTTTACAAAGAAGAGGACTAATAAACACATACAGGCTGTGCCCTCTGGGCACTTAGTGTCACCCTCTGGTAGGATAGAGAGCGCTCTAAGGAGAACCTCCCGCAGCTCCAGGCCATAGTGAGTAGCAATCTGCCAGGAACAACCGAGGGAAGAGGCTGTTTCTCCCTGCTGCCTCATTCCTGGAGTGGGGTGGACCCTGACGTGTTCCCCTCTTTCCTCTGCACAGGGGTCCTCCCAGAAGTTCCAGCAGTGACCCTGACTTTGTGGTAGTGGATGGAGTGCCCGTCATGCTCCCAACCTACGATGAGGCTGTGAATGGAGGCTCTAGTGCCTTAGGCCCCAGGTACCTGGCCTCTGTGGGCCAGGGCTGTCCTTTACCTGTGGATGACCAGAGCCCTCCAGCATACCCTGGCTCCGGGGACACGGACACAGGCCCTGGGGAGTCAGAAACCTGTGACAGCACCTCGGGCTCTTCTGAGCTGCTCCAGAGTCTATATTCAGCCCCCGTGTGCCAAGGGGGCAGCCACCCTGCCCCAGACACCCCTGACACGATTTCGAGCACAGCAGGGGAGGTGGCATCCACCAGCCCAGGCATCGACATTGCAGATGGTAAGCATGTGCTAAGCTGTGGCTAGCTCCCCAGCATGGGGTCGAGGCGTGGGTCTTACCCTGCTCTCACTGCTTCTCACTGCCTCTGCTTGTAGGTCTGTGGACAGGCCAGTTGTGGCAAAGAATGATCAGTATTTTGTGAGTAATAATCCCAGGGATAGAAAATTCATGCGGTCCCAAAGGTACCAAGCCGTGGAGTTCAAAGGCTAAAGAGTAGACAGCACATCGATTTTGATGCCTCCTGTTATACAGGGGTTTTATCTTCCTGTCCTTTAATTGAATAGGACTTCTGAAGGTGCTGCCCCGGACAGCTCCACACACAGGCCCAGGACTATTCTAGACTTGTGCATCAGGCCCCAGCACAGGCCCCTTTCAAACCTGGTTTAGAGAAAGCTGGCTCTGTGCTGCCATGCTCACTGGAAGGCTTTCGAAGGCCAGTGTAGTGAGGAGCACTGACAGCCTCGCCCGCGGGGTACCACATCCCTACCTGACCTCAGAGAAGTAGTACTGTGTGCGTAGAAGTCACATCACCCACTGTAAAAGCAGGGAAAGAGGTGCCCGTCGTGGGGAAGAACATAGCCCATGAAAACAGTGAAATGTACTGGAGTCATCAGGTCTCCACTTCCCAGGGGGAGGAGGCCCAGCGCCACTCTGTAAAATCACATTGATTCCAGAGTGTGGCCACAGTAAACGGCAGACACAGGACAGAAACGGGCCACTAGCCCACAGAGCGAGCGCCCTTCCTGTGCTCCACCCTGCTTCTCTGGGCTTGAAACGTGTTGGCTCGGGTGACTGTGATGTGAGAGCCTGTGGTCTAACATTGTCCTTTTTATGAGCGGGATATAAAATCACAAACTGTTCTTCAGCAAATAGATAGTGTTTTATTTGACCTTCAGTGGGTGCATGGAACTGAACATTTTCCTTTCTTCCCTGATTTCTGGCACAGGGGCAGTTTTAACGAGACTCATAATCCCAGATGGTGTAGTTTTCAGTTGTACTAAGCAAATATCCACCTTTTCCTTTCCAGAGATCCCTTTAATGGAAGAAGATCCCTAGCTGTGTGAAGTCCTGCTAATGCCACTGTCCCCTGTGGGGGAAAGAGCCTTGAACCTTGGAGTGAGGCCTCAAGAGGACGGAGCTGGGGGAAACCGGGGCATTTTCTAATCTATCTACATGGGGACAGTGACCATCCCACACATCTCCAACAGGACTGCGGGGCTGCATACCAACAGTGGTCATACTTCTCAGTGGACTTGTCCTGAGGGAACAAAGGGCAGAGGGGACGACCCTCTGCATCACCCCCATGACAGTGTTGACTGTCTCTTGCTACAGAGCACGAGACAGTGCCACACCCCTCCTGACGAATCACATATCCTGTTGGCACTCCCTGCCCCTCTGAAAGCATGTCACATTGTGTAATTCCGCTTCTAAAATCTGCTTTGAACTGTCTAGGGAACTCTCGCTCTGGACAGGCCTGTCTCTGTAGAAAGCCCATGTTAACCAGCCAGCCCAGGAGCAGATCCTTCTCTGCCCTCATTAGTAAGGGACAGGCTCCCAAGGCAAGACTCTCACGTAATACTCAGACCATCTTCTACACGGGGACAACTGTCAAAGCATGATGCGGCGGTTCGGATGAGAAAGGAAAGAAAAAAGAAGCCCACTCTGCTTTCTGGAAATTTCCTCATGCAGAGCCTCCCCCCCCTCCCCGCTCTGTGCTGCCCTCCATGGCCTGGATGGTGAGACACGTTCAGATGCATCTTGGGGTGGACCAAGTGAATTGGTAATGTTTGGTTTGGGTGTTTTAAAGACTCCACCCCCATTTATCTGCTCGCACATGCCTTCCTTGTGGGTCGTTGTTACCACATTGTCTCTGACCCTAAAACTTAACCATACTTTTATTTTCCAAAACGGAAAGTTTCTGTAAAACACATTATGCATCTGAAGAAAGCGTAAGTCTGCTTTCTTTTGTGCTGCAGTCTGGAGGCTGACCTCCCAGCCCCGAGCCACCTCTGGCCCTGCCTGCCTGCCACCCTGCATCCCTACTGTGAGGGTCTCATGGCGCCCACTGGGTGTTGTGCCTAAGAAATTGATTTTAAAGAACCACCCGTTCAAAAGCGTCTCTTCAAATATATGTAGGTCTGTGGTGTTGCTTCCATTCCTCCTCTGGGTTTCAGACAAATATAAACAAAACTCTCATCCATAAAAATCACTGTGCTGGCAGAGCAGCAAGGGCTGGGAGCTTGATCGAGTCCTGTTTTCTCTCGACACAGACTGATTAAAAATTAAAAAGAAAATGACAGCTTGAAGTGTGACTTTAATAGTGGAGAGGGTAGGGTGGGAAGGGCGTGACAGTGATCCTGGGCAGTGGAAATAAAACATAGGATTCAGAACACACCGCTGAAGGAGATACCATATGAACAGGGCGGGCTTTGCTCTGCCTGATACAAGGTCACCATGGCCCCGGTGCCTTCAGTAGTGAGTGGTGCTGAGCCCATGGTTACAACGGGGTGATTGCAGGTTGCTTGAGTGAAGGCCTCATGCTGTCTCTGGTGAAGCCCGGTCCCATATTCTGGATTCCATTTATTCACAGGAGTTGATGTGCGGTGGAGTGCCACCCCCTGGTGGTGTATGCCCCGGGAAACCGGGCCTGCCATAGGCAGCCTCTCCCGGGGAACCAGACCTTGACTCTCCATTCCCACGTGTCCTCTGTCCTATGCCTCCTGGTGCAGGTTGTATCCGAGAGATCTCCCGGTAAGAGTTTCTTCTCCCATGAGGCAGGTAGGGAGAGGCACACAGCTGTCTGAGACCATTCCTGCCTCTTTCCCATAAACGCTCCAGCAGCAGGGCAGCCATCTGACTTGTGGACCAAGGACAGAGTTGCCCCAGGAAGACAGCAGCAGACATCCAGGAGTTGGTCAGCGTTGTTCCCACCCAGGCTGGTGAGAAGGCCGCTGCTGCTCAGCTGCGGCCTCACTCAATGCCCAGACCAGTCTCCTGGACCCTGCCTGCCGTCGCTCAACTTCGTGTTCCCATCAACTGTTTCCGCCACAGATGTTATTTGTGGTTTATTTTCCTACCCTAGTTGCTTCAGACAGAAAGAACCCTTCTGAGATTCCAAGCACGGTGTGGTCCCAACACAATTCTTTTAAGTACCCTTAAGTCCCCGAGGTGCGAGGGAGGAGGCCACCTTCCACAGACCTCCCCAGTACAGAAACAAGCCTGGCTGTGGAAGAGGGAGCCAGGCTAACCCTGATGCTCCCCTAGGGCTTGGGCAGCGCCCACCTGGGTGCTTCATCCAAGTTGCTGCACAGCAGGCCAGTTCTGGCTGAGTGGCTCCCCATCATGAGCACAGCACAAGTCGCAGGCATCTTCACACTTCATTGCCATGTAGCTTTTCTTAATTGCAAGGTTGTGATTTGCCTGTGTGGGCGCATCAGGCCCTTTCCCACCTAATTACACCCGGCTTAGCAACTGGCACACGGAGAAGGCTGCCTTCTGTTACTGCAGAAATGGTCCCCGACCACCAGCAAGACCAAGATTATCAAATGCAAAGACTCCTGGTCCATAGCCCATTAGGTCCAGTGGGTTCTCATATTCCAGCCTCCCTCTGCATAAGCATTCAAATCCCCTCCCACTCAGACAGCCTCAGGCTCTAGCGGCTACCTCCAGAGTATCATGGGAGAGTGTGGGCTTCATAACCTGCCTCCTCTGCTACCACCTGGCTGTGAACTTGGATCAGTTGCTAGCCTCATTGGGCCTTTGTTTCTTCATGCAGAAATTTAGAATAGTTTTCCCCTGCTTTCATCGACAGGCTGTGGACAGCAACTGATTTAAGTCCCGCAGACACCGAGCATTGGAGACATGGTACCTGCAGGTCCGTGTGAGTAGGGGAGTGGCTGTCATATACATGACTCCCCTGTGCATTCCCACATACCTTTGACCAGCCCTGGTCCCTTTGCCCTCCAGTGTGTTTGCAGATGAGGCTTATTAGGGGCTATCCAAAGCAGAGAGATGGAGATAAGCCACTATGTTCCTGGAATTGTACACCCAGGAGCCCAGCCCCAGCACACTAAGCTTTTGTATAAATACATGGGCCATCAGACCTCTGTGCTTTATTGCAGCCCAGCCCATCTCTGCTCATGGAAGACTGGAGAACCCCAGAACACTTCCGCCCCCACAGAGACCGAGAACGCACTCATCTCCACAGGCAGCCCTGTAGATTATCACTAACCTGCTTCCTTAATTTTATTGTCTATTTTCAATTTAAAGCATAAAAGTTAATGCCCATGCATTTTCCAAGGTGACGAAGGGGAAAGTCCGCAGGTAAAGACAAGCTAAACAGGGCCCTAGAGAGTGTTGGCCCCTTGTAAGGATTAATGTTGAGCATGGTGGCCCTGAAGTCATAAAACTTAATGTAGAGAGTGTGTCACTATGCATGTGGTTAACTGCCATATTGGGCAGTGTGCTGTCCCCAGCACTAGGTGAGAAACCAGTCTCCAGGTGCCTGCCATGTATCATTCTGAGTGATTAAAGAGTAGACTAGCTACCTGAAATCAAGCCAGAAACATCCTGAGAGCTGAGCTGTGTGCATGGGTTCTGAGAGTCTGGTAGCCCCAGAAGGGCTGTCCCATTTCCTCTGAGGGCAATGGCCAAAGAAGTCTAGCAGGTGGAGTTTGGAAAGGGCCATGCAATGGAGCCCAAAGGAACAGACTGACATCTGCCTGAGGCTGGGAGAAGTCTTTATAGATCTACTACATGCAGGTCATCTGCATTCCCTAGTTGGGTGGGCAGTAGGACTGGGAAATAGGCTGCTACAATCTAGAAGATGAAGATGTCTGCTTTTGGTGAGGGCCTCCATGAAGGCTTGGGTCTGTGCTAAGGGGTTTTAGCAGACTGTCTTGAAAGAGAGGGAAGCCATTGAAGAGTTTGAAATCAGGACATTACCAGGGTGTGATGGAGCAAGATGAGCTGGGCTGAGAGCTACTCTGAAAGCAAATTCAATTTAGTAAAGCCTGTAAGCCCCAAGTTCCTCAGCTATTCAGTGAGAATTAAACGTGTCTTAAAAATCTCTTTGGCTCCAACAGTGGCAATCTTCTTGGTGGATTTTGTTTTTGTTTTCTTGCTTTGTTTTGATTTTAATCAAGAACCAAGTGTTTCCCAGCTCTGTCTGTTCTCCAGTCTCTTTCAGCAACTGCCCACTCCTGTTAGTTCTCAAGACCACCCCACCCCACCCCCCACATCAGCTTCAGAATGACTCAGTTTACCTCCATCTCCCTGGAAAGCATGCAGCTCAGAAGAGGCCCATCCCAGTGTCCCACACACAGGCCAAGAAAGGTTTACACTCTTAAGAACAGATCCCTCATTTGGGCAAGGGTGGGAGTCAAGGGCTAACAGCGCTATGAAGTCTGACCTCCCATGACACTTCTGTAGACCCCTTGCAGTTGGCCCTGGACAGAGGCGCAGACACTACAATAAAGCTGTGGAGTCCCTTCTAGTGTAAGGACTTGGAACAACTAAATTCCCAAAGAAATCTATGGGCCTGATGGAGCCCACAGATTCTTTATAATTGTGTGGCATTCCTGGCACCAGGGAGTGTGTTTTTGAAACCTGTTTTTCCTGCATGTCTGGAGGGGTGTGGGTAAGAAAGCCTCACTTCTGCAAGAGGTGCGAACATTCCTGTGACTCTTGATCCAGACCTCCTGTTCATGCTGTAGGTGTGTCCAAGACCATGCATCTCCTCTTCTTGTGAGAGTGTGTCTGTGTGTATGTGTGAGTGTGTGTGTGTGGTGTGTGTGTGTAATGAGTGTGTGTATGTGTGTGCTGTGTGGTGTGTGTGTGGTGTGTGATATGGGTGTGGTTGTGTGTGTGATGTGTGTGAGTGTGAGTGTGAGTGTGAGTGTGTGGTATGTATGTTTGGTGTGTGGTATGTGTGTGTGATATGTGTGTGTGTGATGTGTGACTGTGTGTGGTATGTGTATGTGGTGTGTGTTTGTGTGTGAGTGTGTGTGGTGTGTGTGTGTTGTGTGGTGTGTGTGTGGTATGTATGTGTGGTGTTTGTGTGTGAGTGTGTGTGTTGTGTGGTGTGTGTGTGAGTGTGGTGTGTGATATGTGTGTGGTTGTGTGTGATGTGTGTGGTATGTGTGTGTGGTGTTTGTGTATGTGAGATGTGTGTGTGTGATGTGTGACTGTGTGTGATATGTGTGAGTGTGAGTGTGTGTGGTATGTGTGTGTGGTATGTGTGGTGTGTGTGTGTGTGTGATGTGTGTGAGAGAGAGAGAGAGATGTGTGAGTGTGCGTAGTATGTGTGAGTGTGAACCCATCCAAAGCCTCACATACACTAAAGGAGAACTCTCCCACTAAGCTGAAAGCTGAATCTCTAGCATTCCTAAGCTGTCCTTGAACTCACTCTGTAGTCCAGGCAGGCTCTGAACTTGGAATCCTCCAGCCTCAGCCTTTAGAGTCACTGGGATTATAGACCTGTGTCCCAGGCTCAACCTTTTAATACACTTTTTTTTTTAAAGAACAGCTTTAGATGTATTTTTTTTTAATTGCTCAAAAAGTAGAGCCCCTAAGCCCTGGGTTCCTTATTGACACCCGCATTAGTGGGGACGCAATTGTTACTTAGTTGATCAGCTCCACAGTGCTGACCACTCTGTAGCTTCCATTGGCGTTGGCTCTTTTTGTTCTGCCTTCTACAGGTTTTCACACATGTGTAATGGCATGTGTCCACCAGGTCATAACACAATCATTTACTGTCCCAAACCTCCTCTATATTCAGCCTATTGTCATCTCCCCCACACCCACACCCACACCCACACCCACTGGTAGCCACTTACTGTAGCTGGATTTTTCTTTGGGACACCAGCTCCCAAATAATGACACAGAGACTTCTTATCAGCTATGAAGGCTGAGCCTATGCCGGTTTGTCCCACTACATCTTATATCTTCAACTAATCCACTTACTTTCACCTACGTTCTGCCATGTGACTTGTTACCTCATCTCTCCGTACTGCTCATGCTGCTTCCTCCTCTTGTTGTCGACTCTGCCTTCTTCCCAGAGTTCTCTCTCTGCCCTGAAGCCCTGCCTATACCTCGTGCCTAGCTATTGCCCATTCAGCTTTTTATTACACCAATCACAGCGTATAAACACCCTACAACAACTTATCTTTCATATGCCATTACTTTTGCATTTTCTGAAAGGTCATACGTTGAAATCAGTACTTAAACTTCCCAGTCTGGCTTCTTTGGTTTGCACATGTACATATTAAGTTTCCTCCATGTCTTGCAAAGGAAG